AATTGGAGGAAGGGTTTAGGAATTACAGCTCTTGAGAGTAGCCACCCCCCCTTTTTTCAAGGGACCAAAAGTAATTGGACAATTGAATCAAAAGCGGTTTCATGGACAGGTGTGGGATATTCCTTTGTTATTTCTTCATCAATTAAGCAGGTAAAAGGTAAAAGTTGATTCCAAGTGTGGTATTTGCATTTGGAATCTATTGCTGTGAACCTACATCATGCGTTCAAAGGAGCTCTCCATGCTAGTCAAACAGGCCATCATTAGGCTTCAAAAACAAAATAAATCCATCCGAGAGATAGCTGGAATATTAGGAGTGGCCAAATCAACAGTTTGGTACATTCTGAGAAAAAAAAGAATGCACTGGTGAGCTCAGCAACATAAAAAGGCCTGGACGTCCACGGAAGACAACAGTGGTAGATGATCGCAGGATCCTCTCCATGATAAAGAAAAACCCATTCACAACATCCAGCCAAGTGAAGGACACTCTCCAGGAGGTAGAGTCAAAGTCTACAATCAAGAGAAGACTTCACAAGAGCAAATACAGAAGGTTAACCACAAGGTGCAAACCATTCATAAGCATCAAGAATAGAAAGGTCAGATTCGACTATGCCAAAAAACATCTAAAAAAGCCTGACCAGTTCTGGAAAAGCATTCTTTGGACAGATGAAACTAAGATCAACCTGTACCAAAATGACGAGAAGAAAACAGTATGGAGAAGGCTTGGAACATCTCATGATCCAAAGCATACAACGTCATCTGAAAAACATGGTGGAGGCGGTGTGATGGCATGGGCATGCTGGCTTCCAGTGGCACTGGATCACTGGTGTTTATTGATGATGTGACAGAAGACAGAAGCAGCCGGATGAATTCTGAAGTGTATAGGAATACACTGTCTGCCCAGTTTCAGCCAAATGCAGCAAAGTTGGTTGAAAGGCGCTTCACGGTACAGATGGACAATGATCCAAAACACACTGCAAAAGCACCCAGGAGTTTTTTAAGGTAAAGAAGTGGAAAATTCTGCAATGGCCGAGTCAGTCACCTGATCTCAACCCGATCGAGCATGCATTTCACTTTCTGAAGGCAAAACTAAAGGCAGAAAGACCCACGAACAAACAACAACTGAAGATAGCTGCAATTAAGGGCTGGCAAAGCATCACAAAAAGCAGGAGACCCAGTCTTTGGTGATGTCCATGAGTTCCAGAATTCAGGCAGTCATTGTCTGCAAAGGATTCTCAACAAAATATTAAAAAATAAACATTTTATTTATGATTATATAAATTTGTCCAATTACATTTGAGCCCCCGAAAATGGGGGGACTGTGTATAAAAATGGTTGCAGTTTCTAAAATGTTTACTTGATATTTTTGTTCAACCTCTTGAATTAAAGCTGAAAGTCTGCACTTTAAATTCATCATCGTTTCATTTTAATTTTATTCTGGTGGCATACAGAGCCAAAATTATGAAAATTGTGCCTGTGCCCAAATATATATGGACCTAACTGTATATATACACTCCTGAACGAAATCTTAAGACCGGTGGAAACATTACCAGTATTTGCATTTCACGCTGGTGGATCGTTACCGGGTTGTAAGTACTGCTTCAAAATGCCAAAAGAAGAAACAGAAGCAAGAGACAAAAAATAGAGAGAAGGCAATTTATTGAAAACTGTATTTAATCTCAAACAGGCTGTTCATCAGCTGATCAAAAGTTTAAGACCATAGCCCCCCAAAAAACCTACAACAGAACTAAAAGTGTAAAAAAAAGGACTCAGTAGTGAGTAGCCCCACCGTTCTTGGTGATCACTCAAACACTCGTTTCAGCATGCTTGATGGGACTGTTTCCAGGAGGTTGGTGGGAACGTTGCTCCATGTGGTGAAGATGGCTTCACGAAGGGCATCCACGGTCTGGAACTGTCGTCCGTTTTTGTAAACTTCCCTTGCCATCCATCCCAAAAGGTTCTCAATGGGATTTAGATCAGGGGAACACGCAGGATGGTCCAAAAGAGCGACGTTATTCTCCTGGAAGAAGTCCTTCGTCAGGCAGGCGTTGTGAACTGCAGTGTTGTCCTGTTGAAAGACCCAGTCATTACTGCACAGATAAGGGCCCTCAGTCAAGAGGGATGCCCACTGCAACATGTCCAGAGCCAGCCGCCGTTTGACGCCCCTGCACAACCTAAAGCTCCATTTTCCCATTGAAGGATAAAGCACCCCAGATCAAGCACCCCAAATTCCATATGGGCAAGTTTGTGGCGTGTGAGGAGATGTGGCCTTTGAAGACATTTTTTGTTCTTTAAGCCCTTCTCTCACAGATGACGTCTTATGGTTATTGGGCTGCAGTCAGCATAAGTAAGGGCGTTAATTTGGGTTGAGGATCGACCTGTGTCTTCACGGACAACCGTGAACAAGGCTCAGTGCAGATGACATTTTTTGGGGTCTAGCACTTGACTTCTTTGTCTCATAACTCTCAGGATCTTTTAAGAAATGTAAAATGACTGTCTTACTGCGTCCAACCTCGGCAGCGATGGCGCGTTGCAAAAGGCCTTGCTTGTGCAGGTCAACAATCCTGCCACGTTCAAAGAGAAAAAGCCTTTTTACGTTTGCCATCAGGAGATCATGACAGTGTGACTGCCTGAAGGACAATGACATGAAAGCCATATTTTTGTGCAGATTTGACCTTTTTAAGGCTATGGTCTTAAACATTTGATCAGCTGATGAACAGCCTGTTTTGGTTTAAATGCAGTTTTCAATAAATTGCCTACTCTATATTTTTGTGTCTCTTGCTCCTGTTTCTTCTTTTGGCATTTTGAAGCAGTACTTACAACCCGTTAACGATCCACCAGCGCGAAATGCGAATACTGGTAATGTTTCCCCCGGTCTTAAGATTTTGTCCAGGAGTGTATATGCTCAATAATGTAAATAAATGCCCAGTATTCATCGGTCATTGTTTACTGCCATTCCCTCTTTGGGGGAGCTCAGATTTAAACCATTTACAACTTTGTGAGTAGAGATGTTTTACACTTTTTGACATATCTTTGTCTCTGTGCCTCGATCTATCATATGCTTGGTTACCACAGATAAACCAATGTTTTCTAAGAAAATGAGATATCACTTGTCGGACCAGTGGCCACCTTTGTAAACAAATGGCTAGAAATACGCTTGGATAGTTCTGGCAGGCAAGCAGCCAAGATCTTACAACATGTCTGAGCCAGTCAGAAGAAAGACGCTTATAAAGCAATGACGACACTTTCCTAAATTAGACTACCTCTACTCAGAAAGAAAAGAACTTTGTGACAATTTCAGCTCAGTTTGATAACCAGCAAACAGATTACTCTGATTATTATGGGAAAGAAACATCATAGGCAGATTCATATTTTATTACTTTGGTAGAATCATGAGGTAAAACTAAAAGGTTTCAGACAAAATTGTTAAAACGGCATCTAAAATAAGATAACTGGATAATAACAGCTGTTATCCTGCCAGCAGAGGGAAGGAGCGAGCCATTTAGTGCTCTCCAGAGATGCACTTTCAGATTCGCTTTATGTAACTTACAGCAACGCATATATGAGCTGTGTGTCATCTGAAGGTTTTAGGTAACAGTCACTGTTCTCCACCGGAGCTGCGCCCATCAGTTTTGTGTTCTACGCGCAACGCAAATGCTCCAGATATAAAAGCTGCTGTCAGTTAATGAAGGTTTGACGGATTCGATTGGACTCTTGTCATATCAATAATAATAAGACTTTTCACTTTCATGGACATCGCCATTTTTTATATTACTTTGGTCACTGTTGCTGTGGTTACTGGTAAGAGAATATGGGCTTGACTTGTTGTTTGGACGGGACATTTCCAGACTCACACCTGTAAGTAAATGCAGTTGTCAATTACTCTTTCCCCCTCATACACCTACATCTTGCAGCAAATCATATTACCATCTAAAACAACTAAAGCTTTTACCCAAACTTCCGGTTTCAACAGAAAATGTTGACATGGAAGACAACATGGGTCGTCTTGCCCTTTCACTGGGTCTTTATCAGCAAAGCATAGCTATTAGTGACTCTCAGTGTTGTTTTTACAATTATTCCTTTAGCAGAGTCCTTATTGCAACAGGTTGCAACACAAAGAAACGATGCACTTGCTAATATCTTCTTTAGCAGCTGGGGGAATTTAGAATTTTCAAAAACAGGACCGCTAATCCCTGCAGGTTTTCACAAAGTGGCTTGAACAAACCGTTTCATTGCCAGGATGCTGGTTTCAGGGTTCAGGGTAAGATCAGATTACTTCCAATGGCTGAAATCAGAGGAGACAGCGTTGAGCCTGTGAGACGTGAGACTCTAAACAGCTGAGGGGTCACTGCTCTCTGTGTTCACCCTCACACATTCATAAGCCTCATCACACGTGCACGCAGCACCCCTCTGGATCTTTTCTTTGAATGCTTCGTTTTTGGATGTTTTCCGCAGAGGCATTTCACAGTTGCTGAGCTTAATTAAGGACACTTTGTTGTACCTTCTCTGACAATGAAATGCATAATGCATTTCAAAATAACACCATCGGCTATGTCAGTAGTGTCAGATCATAGCTGACAGCAGACACAACGTCATTTACATCATATGTTGTTTTCAAACAGATTACGTGTGATCAGCATACTTGTCTAAATCATTTGCAGGGCTACATCTACTAAGGCTGATGACAGATCCCATAAAATTATGACCATTACCAGGAATCCTCTGCGGTTTCTGAATGCCTTCAGGTGACTACGCTGACACTGCTGCCATAAACAAAAGGTTCTGAACATTCAACTAAATGTTTAAAGTTTTCAGGAGGCCAGAAGGCTGCTGCCCTTCTCCTTAGATTTTATTGCAAGGTCTCAAGTAAGTCAAGCAATCTGCCCAGGACGAGCAATCCAACCTATCTTTAGCCACTGCGAGCAAGTGAATGGAGAGCCTGACTTATCTTCACTGCTGTCATCGAGGCTGCCAGTATTTTAGGGGACAGCAGCAGCTGCAAAAGCATTTAACAGTCTTCTACGAACAATAACACTAGGGGTGCCTCAGGACTAAACGCCACAGAGATCGTGGGACTGCTGGAGTGTTCAAAGGAAAGCGGTCTGATAAGGCTAAAACCTTCTTAAAAGGGGCACTTAAAACCCTTGGCAAAATGGGCAGGTGACACTGACTAGATGTTAATGAGGAGAACATACCGCAACAAACTTACCGAAGTGGAAAAGGATTATTCTGTAAAAAAAAAACAAAAAAACTAGAGCTTGAAGTGAGGGCCAGTGAAGCAGGAGAAGCTGGTTGCCGAGGAATGTATATTGACATTTGTCTCTGAGGACTGAAGAGAGGTAGGATATGTTAATGTTACAAAGTGCAGTTTGCCTGAGGTCAAAGGTCAGTCTAATTAAATTAGGAGCACAAACAGGAGGTTAATCTCCTTTTAAAGTCCTAGGGGAAATTCCTGATCTAGATTGGTGATGTTATACATTTAAACCTTTAACAGTTGGAGATATAATAAGAGTACCTGCTGTTCCTGTTGATTACATTGTGGAACATCTGAACACCTGTTTTCTTAAGAAAATATGCAGTATGCAGTATACTAATATAATTAGTGTTTAAAGCTCTTCAATTGCACTCTCACTTTATTTTGATGGTCACTTTAACACATTCTGTTGACTATAAGTAATGTTGCACCTACATGTGTACTAACTCTTATTAGAGTGTTAGTAGTAATGGTAGACTGGTAGGGTTAGAATTAGTTGACATGTAGTTGCAAAGTTACTTATAGTCAGTAGAATGTCTGTTGGAGGACAATCACAATAAAGAGTTAGCGGATATTAAGCAGACAGTCTACTAAAACTCTCATGGGAGTTAGTTGACATGTAGTTACAAAGTTACTAATAGTCAGTAGAATGTCTGTTGGAGGACAATCACAATAAAGTGTTAGCAGAAATTAAGCAGACTAATACTCTAATGGGAGTTAGTTGGAATGCAATGTTACTTATAGTCAACATAATGTTCAAAAGGGACCATCAAAATAAAGTGTTACGTGTTACATATATCATATTTTGTTGTCTTGTTTGTAGCGTAGCAAACTTATATGTGTAACATGATGAATAACTAGCAGACGTTTAAGGTTCTGAGGAGGAAACTTATAACCGGATCGTTTTCCTGAAGTTAGCTGTGCGTCATAGATTCCCAAGACTAGCGATTCATGTGCTATGCCATCCTAAAACAGATAAACCAGCCCTAGCGAATAAACATCCCCCTGTACACCCCATCAGAGGCCAAACTTGCAGCATGATTGAAACTGAGAAGCCACACATTAAAAAAACATTAATCATGAGGGCATATTAAACCAACATGATCTGGATTACTTCATATGCAACAGATATTTTCAGAGGAAGATATCACTTAATAGTACAGAGCAAGTGTTTTTTTCCTGAAACGAATGACAAACAAACTAATTTTGACAATGACATTTAACAGCTAAATTCGTAACTGCATTTGCTAAAAGGGGTGTGAGAGGCATAGCATATTTTGACTGAGAGGTCCCCATGGGGTGTGTCCTGCGTGAGTGTGCGAGACCTGTGTTGTATGTGCACGCGTGTTCTGTGGTGTGCTTTGTGATACCTGACACATGCCCTCTCACAGGTCTTTATTTAGGGCAGACTATATAAAGAACTTTCCCATTGAAATACAGCACCAGCTGTGTTAGTTATGTGTTGTGGCCGCTGTTGCAATAGGGCTAAAAGACAGTACACCTCTAGAGCTCTTCTCACACAAGGCATAATTTCTAAGAAAGTTCTGGGCATCAAGTATTCTAGTGTAATAGTATCCTTGCTCTCTGGGGAGAGCCCACACTATCAAATCGCACTAGTGCACATACCAACACCCAAACTCAACAATTAGTTTTTAATCAGTCTGTATACTTCAGCGGATTGTTGAAGATTTGAGAAATAGCTAATGCAGTCTTCCAAAATTATTGGGACATGAAAAGTTTGGTTATCAATTTTTCTCTTTTTCCGAGAAGATATGAGAGAAAAAATACTGTTAACAGACAATTATTGCTATGACAGGTCAAGTCAGGTGTTCCTTGTTGAAAGTTTTAACTAACAGTGAACCATATTACTTTAGTAAATTATGGCAAAAAGTCAAATGTCAATTGTAATTTTGCTTTAAAAATATAATAATTATGACCTTTATATAATATCAAACAACTTATATGTACCTGTAATGATTTGGCTTTGGAAGAGGTGTGCCCACGATCACGATGGCAAGAAGCAACTCTGCAGTAAAACAGAGCGGTAAAATTAATTCTATTTCGATAAAATTAATTTGTTATATACAACAGAGCTTAACATACAGTAAAGCTAAGTTTGATTTAGACAAGTAATTTGTTAGATATAACGCTGTTTAAGGCAGCATTATGCAATAAACAAACTAACATGAAAATTGCTGAAATACAAGTTCTGCAGATTTCCTAAATTAATTACATTAAATGATTTCCTGTTTGACTGACTATTTAGGTACTGGTGGCCTTTAGACTTTTGTTATTTGATAAGACTGTATTTACCAGGGTTTAGTGGAATTCAAAAGTAAAGAATTCCACTACACCTACATGTCTAAGGCCTATAAACTTCCCATTTTAATGCAAATTAGAGATGTTCCGATACCCTTTTTCCCTTCCCGATACCGATTCCGATACCTGGACTCAGGGTATCGGCCGATACCGAGTACTGATCCGATACCTGGGTGTGTACAGTATCTATACAGCTGCAATTCATACTAGCACTGTATGAATTGATAGAATTATTTTATGCCGTGTTTCAGACTTATCCCTTAATTAAACATGAACAAATACATACTGTGAACTAGAGTATTTTTATTATCTGACATACATTTCACAGCAATATATTATTTATCTTTCTTAAGTGAAAAAGAACTTAAAATGCAACCACACACTAATACTGTAAACTGAAAAGGGTATTTTAGTTTTACAATATAACTGCATAAAAAAGTGCAACAAATAAATCTAGGAATCTAAAAAATGATATATGAAAAATATAAGAAAATAATCTCTTTATAATTTAAAGTCCATAAACAATTTTGTTAAATAAACGGCATTTCAGTTTTGACCGCGGCTGGTCATCCAGAACAATAAACTCAATACATGCTGTCGGTTATATTTATCGCTCGTTGGCTGTCTTTTGAAAACTTTTCTCTTTGTTTGAATGAAGCTTTCAGAGATTGTTGATTCTGGCGCGGCTCATCCTTCTCTGCCCTTGCCTTTGTGTAATCGTGTTCTGCGGGGTGACGCGTCTTCAAATGCTTAAGTTACTCGTGTTGTTACCTTAAATTACTCGTACTGCTAAACAGCGGACATACTGCTATCGCGCGCGCGTTTTCTTCTTCGCTGCTCTAAACAGTGGTTGCTTGTGTGGCAACAGCACAACTTCCTGTGTCGCCACAAGCAACCACTGTTTAGAGCAGCGAAGAAGAATTGATCTCCGATTTGCAGCGTTATGCAAAGCTAGCGTGCATAACTAGTTATTGTTTAAGGAAATTGGTATCGGATCGGTACATGGGTAGAAGTACTCGCCGATACCGATGCCAGCATTTTTATTGGTATCGGCGGCATTTCCGATACTAGTATCGGAATCGGAACAACTCGAATGCTAATGTCTTTCAAAACTATCAAACAAGTTACAAATTCATTATAATTGCTCTTCTTTATATTCAAATTCAATACTGTTTGCTACCTCAATTCAAATTCAGGATCTGAACTGGAATTTTGAATGGTGCACAACCCTGGTATTTACATGCAGTATTATATACATGTATGAAATGGCTGGTTATTATCAAATCATATATTAAGTGTATTTTTTTGTTGTTATGATTTAGAGTCTTACTTGATAAACGGCTGGACAACAAAATTCTTTTAGAGTGATAAAGAGACTGAATGCCTGTAGCCTGTCCCTCTGAGTGGAGGTTGGCAAGTGAGCAGGGATGGATGTGTTTGGTGGAGCGCCACGGTTCCTAGCCTACCCTCGTCCAGTGGTTGTACAGAGTGGCACAGATGCAGTTCTGAAATGCCAGATCAGTGGGGATCCCAGACCAGCAGTTATATGGGAGAGAAACAATGAGAAGATTCACCCAGAGGGCAGATACCGGGTGTTTGAGGATGGCAATGTCTACAACCTTATCATAACTTCTGTGACAAAGGAGGACAGTGGACAATACATCTGTAAGGCCAAGAACTGTATTGGAGAGACGTACGCAGCAGCCACTTTGAAAGTAGAAGGCGAAGCACAGGAGAAGGAATTTCGGGAGGAAAATAAGCCGCGCTTCCTCATCAAGCCCCTCTCGACTAGGGTTGGACGAGGAGAGGATGCAATGTTCTCCTGTAAGCTATGGGGAAACCCTCGACCAGAAGTGATTTGGGAGAAGGATGGCAAGAAGTTGAATGAGATCTTTGAGAGCACACATTTCACCATCAGCTATCAGGATGGAGGGTGGTTCCAGCTAAAGATTTTCAAGACAAGAGCACCAGACGGAGGGGTGTACACGTGTAAGGCCAGGAATGAATTTGGAGAGAGTCTGGCAGGGGCTGTGCTGTTGGTGGATGCAGGACCAGGACACGAAGATGATGGGAACCGTAATGGATACACTAATGGCCACTGGAAAGCACATCAGGGAAAACAAAGAAGTGGTAGGCAAGTTGCAACAAGGCTGAAAGATGACCTACTACCAAACTCAGCCAAAGTGAAAATGTTTGCAGTGACAGAAGGGAAACATGCAAAGTTTCGTTGCTATGTAACTGGGAAGCCAAAACCAGAAATATTATGGAGGAAAGATGGGAGACTTATCTTGTCTGGGAGACGGTATCTCCTGTATGAAGACAGAGAGGGTTACTTCACACTTAAAGTTCTCTACTGCAAACAACAGGACAATGGAGTTTATGTCTGTTCTGCTTCAAACACTGCAGGCCAAACCCTGAGTGCTGTACACCTTATTGTCAAAGGTAAGAGTCACCTCATTTGGAATACGATAAATACAGTACAAATACAAATTCAATACAATTTTATGGTTTTACCACCTGATCTATAACATTATACAGTATATATTAGTTTAACATACAGTTTATATGGCCTGTACCATTAATAAGCCAGTTGCCAGCTGTTGTGTCAAGCATTTGGTTCCCTAATCAACAGTAACTTTTATGATGATTCAGTTGTAGGAAATGCATCAAGGGAGCTTTAAAATTACCTGACCAGGCCAAACTCATTAACATGAAATAGATTCCATCCAGTCCTATATCTGCAAAATCACTTAAGCTTTGAAAGGCCTGAGGCCCACACATGTGATAGAAATCTCTGGAGGCAAGATCATATTTCTCACATGGACCATAAAACAGTCAAAACTGATTGCTTTGCATGACTATATTGTATCAGAGCCAGGCAACACCATAATGCTCAAAAGGGTTTCGAGTCACCAAGGCTAAATTGAAGGTATGACTACTAAAGCAAGCACGAACAAGACAAAAAAATACATCAATAATGTCAAGGATGTGGTGTCAAGACATAACCTAAAAAAAAAGCAAGGTACACCACAAAAAAATAACTTAATGGGATTTTATTTTGTCTTTTTTACAAATTTTCCAGGATAAAAACTTAAAAATCCTTTTTTTTAAGTATATTTGAGAAGCAAAACTGCTAAAGTCTTAAGACTTGTATAAATCTTAAGTTTTCATAAATGTTTTCTTCAATGTGAGCCTTACTGCGCTGGCAGATTGTTTTTAAACTTGTTTACTTAAAATCATTGAACACCACAAAATACCCTCCTATTAAAGATACATTCTCTGAAAACTAGTCTAAATATCTTTAAGCAGGGTTGATTCTCAAAGAATTTTTAGATATTTTAAATTTAAAAATTTAAAAATACAGTACAAACAGTACTTTCCAAAATATAATAGTATAATAATACAAAAGCAACATCATTACTGATTACAGATTACCTCAAAGCCACTACTGGACAAAGAAAAGCAGTATCAACTAGATTACTTTGAATTTCCATGTGTAACAGAGGCCAGCTAGTAAGGAAACACCAGTTTGAATCCCGCTCAGAGCGGTGCGAGTAGAATAGGAGGGGTTACACATGCATGAATATCCATGCTGATTGAGGCTAGTGTATGCTGGTGTTGTTATAAAAGGTTAACATGCAGTTCACGAGAAAAACGTGCTTTTCGACCAGCATGGTTTGTCTGGTGAAGCTGTTCTATCAAGGAAGTCTTGCTGGCTAAGTTTGTTAAAAAGCATGCTGGGGACACCAGCACATCAGTATGCAAAACACTACATGTGCTGGTTATTGTCAGTAGGGTAAGGTAATGTGTGCAATGTATCTCTGAGGGAATGCAGATCTATCGATTACTGACATAAAGGAAACCTTTAAAACTCTCCTTTTTGGGTCCTTCCTTCTTGTGACAGAGCCACCTGTTCGATTTAAGCAGCCACTCAACGACTTGCAAGTATGGGAGAGAGACTTGGCTGTTCTTGAGTGTGAAGTTCCTGAGGACTCTGTTCCAATCACATGGTACTTAGAAGACAGACGACTACAGCCTGGAGCCAAATATGGGATGGAAGAGTGGGGGACAAAGCGTCGACTGACAATTCGTGATATTGGAGTTGATGACGATGGGATTTATCTATGCGAGATGGCTGATGGGGGTAGAAGCATTGCAGAGGTAGCAGTCAAAGGTAAAACAAAAAAGTTATATTTATTTGCCATCATCTGTCTGGGAAAACAAATTCATCTGATTAGCATTTGCAGTTGTATAACTTAAGTGACTCTCTTGAAGGCACTATAGTAAGAAAGCTGCCACGAAAAGTTGATGTCCTGGAGGGGGAAAATGCAGCCTTCTGTGTGGAGGTGGAGGAGGAGGAAATGGACATTCATTGGTACAAAGATGGAACAGAGCTAAGGGAGACCCATCAGACCATTCTCAAATCTTTTGGAAGGACACACATTTTGGTCTTTGTAAACACCACACCACAAGACTCTGGCTTGGTCATGTTCTATGTGGGTAGATCAAAAACTTCATCTCAGCTACGGGTGAAAGGTATGACAACTTTTCTTTGGAATTATTAATATGTAAACACTTGTATTCCAGAATGCCCAAATGTATTTTTTTTTTTTAAACAAACCTCTTCTTCTCTTGGGCTAATTTCAGCGGCAAGGCACTGTCCACCAAGCTGTCCAATTGGGGTACAGATAAACACAGAACGAGCGAATGCAGCTCTTCTTTCCTGGTTTCCAGCACAAGACTCTCGAAAGAATCCACCTTCAGGGTACATAATTGAGAGACAAGAGGTTGGCTCACAAGAGTGGCTGCAATGTTTGACTACAGACTCTGCAACCTCAGTGGAGATTCTTGGCGACAGTGTTCCATGCGAGGCAGACTACAGATTTCGGATTTGCAGTGTCAACAAATATGGAAGGAGTGGAAATGTAGAGTTCCCTCGAGCAGTTCACCTTGGTAAGCTCCTTTATAAGGCTGTCCATTGCATACATATAAAGAAAACACTAACAAAGCTCATTCTTTCTAGTTCCAGTTGCCAGAATCCAAGCACCTCTACAAGATGCTTTAGTACCAGAGGGCCAGGATGCCTGTTTTACCATTGAGCTCTCTGCCTCAGTAATAGGCACTTGGTTTCTAAATGGAAATCAGCTTCAAGACGATGACCGCTTCTCAATAAGGCGTTCACGTACACACCAGTCCCTACGCATCCGCGGGGTACGAGACACAGACAATGGAGCAGAGATCACCTTCATTGCTTACGGAATTCGAGATTCTGCTGCTTTGTATATACAAGGTGAATACTTAACTTTGATTTCCTTGCATTGAGATATATTTATGAGGATATTTACAATTGCTGTGTTGTATATATTCCTCTTAATCAGCTCCACTGGTAAAGTTCACTCCACTTTCTGAAATGGATCGAAACAAATTTGTGGAGGTTGGCAACCCTATAGTACTCTACTGTGAGCTGTCAGACCCTGAGGCTCCAGTTCGTTGGTATAAGAATGGTGTTGAACTTAATTCAATGGAAGGTCTGCATATCCAATCAGAAGGAACAATGAGGAGGATTGTCATCCAATCAGCGGATTTTTCCCACTCAGGAGTGTACAGCTGCGACGCTATTGATGACGTTATCAGGTTTAATGTGGAGGTTGAGGGTGAGTCATTTTTGTTCTTATTTCTCCTTTCAAAATCAAATGAATATGTCCAATAAAAGAATCTTGCACTTGCAAGTCTCTAAAGTTTACTAAATACTGCTGAATGAAAACACATATAGCCCCACCAGTGAGGTTCTCAGTTCTTCCGGAGGGTGAGAGGAACAAATCCATTGAAGCAGGCTCAACAATAGCACTGCAATGTGAGCTCTCAGATCCACTCGCCCAGGTCTCCTGGTACAAAGATGGTGCGAAACTACTGCCACAAAGTGGACTAGACTTCAATTCCGAGGGCACAAAGAGGGAACTGTTTGTCCAATCAGCTGAATTTTACCACTCAGGGGTGTATAGCTGCAAGACAAGGGGTGATGCTGTCCACTTCAATGTGGATGTTAAAGGTGATTTATATTTTTACAAGTGAATTAAGTTACATTTTTATTTTGCCAGACAAAAAACAAATGGCAAGACAATGACAATGTTGATTAAGACTGTACAGATGTTAAAATATATTTCAAATTAAATGTAAAAAATGACTATTGAAATCATAAAGTGGGACTTAAAACACTCTAAAATATCCATAGCCCCACCTGTGAGGTTCTCAGCTGTCCCAGAGGTTAAGCGGAGAAAGTGCATTGAAGCAGGCTGCCCCATTATTCTGCAGTGCGAGATTTCAGACTCTACTGCACAGGTCCAGTGGTACAAAGATGGGGATCAGCTCCTTGTAGAATCTGGAGTAGACATCAAATCAGATGACTGCATGAGAACACTCAGTATTCAGTCAGCACACCCATCTCATGCCGGTGTGTACAGCTGCACAACAAAGGATGATGTCATCAAGTTTCAAGTGGAGATAAGAGGTGATTTGCCATCTTTATTCCTGACTTACAAATTAACTCTATGTCTTCTTGCAATTATGCGACTAACAATCACTGCTTTCTGTGTTGCGCTTTTGTCACATTCTTTAGAAATGTTTCAAAGATTTTATGTTGTACATTACCTCTGTCTCCTTTTTCTCTGCTTTAGTTTTACAATTTTGGATTATCTTTTCAGTCATGATGTTCTTGTATACTCAGTTGTTACAGTACATGTTATCTTAAAGCAATAGGTCCTTTAATCTGGGTAATTTCTTGTAATTCTTGATGATTCTGATACGAACCATCATCTGTAGCTGAACCAGTGAGATTCTCAGCTGTTCCGGAATCTGAGAAGAATATATGCACTGAAGCTGGTGGCCACTTTGAACTCCACTGTAAGGTCTCAGATCCTACAGTCCATGTCCACTGGTTCCACAACAATACACAGCTTCAGCCAGAGACTGGTTTGGATATTCAGTCAGAGGGAGATGCAAGGACACTGGTAGTCAATCCAGCTGAGCCTAGTCATTCTGGATTGTACCGCTGTGAAACATCTGATGACTCTGTCCAGTTCACTGTGGATATCAAAGGTGATTTGTGACTTTTTGAGAAACTTGTACATCCAGTAACACATTTGCAAAACTAGATGCACACTAACAATTCAAGCTTTTTTGTTGTCTGCGTCTCTTAGCTTCGCTGTTATGGACATGCCTCTCACCATGCATCCAACTTATGGGCAGTGATTTGATACAGATGTTACATGTTTTGCATTACTTTATTTAACTTGCTACTTGGCAGATGGTCTGAGAAATCACAGATTAGGCAGTCTAGATAACATTTAATAATGGATATTAATTCTGTATATTCTTCAATAATGCAACGGATCACCTTTAGACCCACCGGTGATGTTCTCAACATTACCAGACACTGTGAAGAACCAGCTGGTTGAAGCAGACTACTCCACTGATATGCAAGGTGAGATCTCAGATCCAAATGCCAAGGTGTGTTGTTACAAGGATGGTGTAGAGCTCGTCTCAAAAAGTCAGCCTCATATCAAATTGGAGTGTACCAGGAGGACGTTGGCTGTCAAGACAGCACAGCCCTCTAACTCTGGATGGTACGACTGTGTGAGAACGGGCGATGTCATCCAGTTTAATGTACAAGACAAAGGTGATTTTCAAATATTTGCTTCTAATCTTCTTAATGTTTTTGTGTGACAACTAACAATTGTGTGCTCTTCGTAGCTTTTTTATTCTCTTTTAATGTATTCTGACTGTTACTTGTACATGCCCTTGGTTTCAGTGGCCATAATTGGTTCTGTCTTTCTGCGTTTTGAAAAATAATCACATTTAATAAAGCATTCCTCTATCAATGGTCATCTGTAGTGCCACCACCAAGATTTTTGGCTGATCCTGAAGTTGAGATGACCAAATGCAATGAAGAAATGGAACCTGCTGCACTGCATTATGAGATCTCAGATCCCACTCCAAATGTCAGCCAGACCAAAGATGAGGAGGTCATGCTTCCTCATTCTGAACCTGCAGCTGAATTTAAACCTGATTTGGAACTTGAATCTAAATCTGAATTTGAACCTGAATCTGATCCTGAAATTCATTCAGATGCATCTAGAGGAACTTTAATCATCCACTCACCTGATTCATCTCTTTTTGAAGTAAACAGCCCAAAGACACCAGATGATCCCATCCAGTTTGAAATGGACCAAGGTGGTTTGCCACTTACTTGTACGCCATTCTGAATTAGGAACATTGACATGACTGAAGCAAGTCAGTTATTGTTTTCTTTGTGGCTTTCCTAACAGCAGAACTGTCTCACTATGAGGTGTTCAGTGGTGATACCTATGATGACTCTGTCCAGTGCACTGTGGATATAAAAGGTGATATAATGCTACCTCAACCCAAGCCTTTAACCCAGCACCTCTGTGCCACTAACAAGGGTGGTTTTAACTATCCAATGGCTCTTCCTGGAGATGCTGGTCCCCTGCATCTTGGTTACCTACCCAAAACTGCTCCCAAAACTAATCCATGCTATCCTGTCTTTATCCAACATCCAGTTGGTCTGCAAACCCTTCTTCCAAACTAACACTCATTCTATAGACTTACATATCTTCATTCTTCATTGAAGCACATTTCATTTAAACCTATACTGTACACTGTCTACATTTGCTTGAGTCATCTTGTTCATGTTTCATTCAGAATCATCATCAGTATTGTGCTGACTGAATTATAGAGAACTGGAATACAGAATGAATGGTTGAGTGAATGAAAGTTGGTGATCTGACTTCTTGCGTAATCATGTTTTGTTTTTAATATGTGTTTTAACCAATATTTGACTTGTTTTTAGACCACTCTGTGATATGGTCATCTCTCTTAATTTTTTTTCAATCTTGAAATAATCTTAAAAATTAACCAATCGATAAAACTACGTCTTTATAAGCTTTTCTGATTACGAAGACAGAAAAGTACTTCAACTTTTCTTTGTGTAAACCACTCAACTATAGAAGAGTTCCTGAGAAGATCGGGAACTGAGGCTGAGATCAGATCTGAAAAAGAGAACAACAAACTCACAGCGGAAAGATCTGGAGAAGGCACCCAAATGTCCATTCCAACAACCTTCAGACTGACCGAAGAGGAACCGCAGCCAGAACCTATGCTACAACCAATGCTACATCCACAGTTACAACCAATGCTACATCCACAGTTACAACCAATGCTACATCCACAGTTACAACCGATGCTACATCCACAGTTACAACCAATTCTACAACCACAGTTACAACCGATGCTACAACCCCAGATACAACCGATGCTACAACCCCAGATACAACCGATGCTACAACCCCAGATACAACCACAACTGCAACCTCAGCTACAACAGCTGGAACCACAGTTGCAACCAATGAACCAGAAGAGTACTTCAATTTCCGAAGATGAGGGCTCAAATCAAATACAAGAGAGTGATTTGGATCAAGATGTCTTAGCTTTTAAGGTGGATGTTGAAGGTGATTTAAATAGTTAGCTCCATCATTCTGCAAATAATGATGAGAGCAAAATATAAGCCATTGACATTTACCACCTAACAACCATTTAACGTCATTCGTCTATTTGGATCCATTTACTGAATTTAGAAACAAAAACTGCCCTGTTCTATAATGTAGCTGCATTTTATTATTATTCACCCAGTAAAATTATATCACCAAATATTTATCTAACAAAGATCATCTCACTAAAAAATGCAATTGTATCATCTTGAATTTAACTTCTAGCAGAAAGAAAAAAACATTTTGATATATGAAAAACACTACAAACCTATAGTAAGATTATCGATTGTAAGGCTATAAAATACATAAGTGCAGTTTAGCTTAGTTGACTTAAAATATGCAATGTAATGTGTCACAATTGTAATACATGTCTCTTTTCATATAACTTGAAATATCCCTAGCCTCGAGGACAAATTCCACACCAATTTGTGGAATGGATGAGCACTTTCCTATTGATGCAGACTGTTCCAGTGTACTGCTAACTGAGAGCTCTGACCACACAACTCAAGAAAAACCTATATCCTGCCAACAAGATGAAGCAACAGTGATATCCAATGAACCTCCAACACAGAAAGAGCACATCCAGTCATCAAATATATGTCTGCAAGAAGCACATGAGACCGTTACCAAGGATGAATTTGCTTATCAAGAGGAACTGAAAGGTGATTTAAAGCTATGTTTAACACAGCATTAATGAACAAAAGCAACTAACTTCGTCTGGCTTTTTGCTTAAATGTTCTGTACCCAAATTGATTCACACTCTTGATAGATAACTCACTATACGATACTCACATTGCTTTGTCCCCTCAAAACTGAAGAATCTGGTCATAAAGAAGAATTATTTACACAACCATTTGAAACTGAAGTTGTCCGACCCATTGAAGGTGATTCTCCAGTTCATTGGTACAAGGACAAAATACAATTTTACTCTGAAAATGAAAATGGAAATATTCTTGAAATGAAGGAAGATGTACGAAGACTGAATGCTCCAGTCACTGACTTGGGTCAATCAAAGGATGATGACATAATATTTAAGGTGGATGTCCAAGGTGATTTTAAACTAGTTTAAATACACACAGCTACATAATCAGTTTCAGTCATTCAAGCTTTATTTAAAAAATAAATAACTAAAATAAAATAAAAAACAAAGCAAAGCAAAAAATATATGCATGTTACATTTAAATTATAAAAACATTTATGTAAAATATTACCTGCTTAGGTCAAATTGTCTGCTTACATTAAAACATATTAAATTAAACCCCTTAGCTACATCTTTGCAAACTTCAAGTATCCATGAGACTGAAAAGAGCGAGTCAAATGATGAAACAGTCATTGCTAATTTTTCACAACCTGAGGTATCAAGCACAATGGCAGAGGTGTGCTGGTACAAGGAAGGTGAGGATCTCCAACAATGTGACGTTATCACCCAATCTGAGGAGACTTTCAGAGCTCTTGTTGTCAAAACATCCGAGCCGTCTCACTCTGGGGAACATGCTTGTGAGACAGATGATGTCACCGTCCAGTTTGCAGTGGACCTACCAGGTGATTCATCAGTCATCTTCGCCAGCTCAATCCATCCGATTACCAAACTAACCACTTCAATCATGCAATTGTCACTAAATTTCTAGAATCTATTGTTCAAATAAATGCCAGACTAATAGGTTGTTGTAGGATGTTACACCGCTAATGAACATTTCAGTAAAGAAATTACTTTTTATTCAAGATTAATTGGTAATACCAATGTCTAAAGTGTTTAAAGAAACTTTTACTGTAATTGTCTCCTTCAGATATCTATTTAGAAATGATCCTTTTGATATATTACTACTACTAATAAATTCTACTAAATATATGGTATACTGAGGAAATTATAGAAAGTCCAATCACTAACAAATGTACAAAGGCAAAGGCCTGATACATTGGTAAAAAAACTAAATTTGTTTTCAGTATGTTTGTCTTTAATGTCTGTTTCCCATGTTTTGTCTTTGTTGTTAAATATATGTTACTTTCCATGTTGTCCTTTACTCTTGCGCTACTAATCTTTCATCTTATATTTTGATGTTTGAGAATGTCTGCTTTGTATTTTCATTTTATTGATCATTACAGTTAATAGTCAGCATATTCTTAAAGTCATGTTCATGCCAAACAGACTCTTTCATAAAACGCTGAATGATTGTCAATATTTTGGATCATTCTTGAGAATCAAGTTGAGAAAAACTATAAATATAAAATGAAATATATGTTTTATAAAAAGAAAACAAACAATATAAAAGTAAATGTGTCTGTACAAAATTGTCTGTAGCTCTTCCAGTGACGTTCTCCAGTGTCCCTGAGGCTCAACGGACCAAATGCATTGAGTCAGGAAGACCCTTTAAACTGCAATGCGAAGTCTCACACCCTGATGCGCAAGTCTGGTGGTACAAAGATGGGAATGAGGTGCTTCCTCAAGATGATATTGTCACTGTGAATGAGGAAGCAATGAGAACACTCTCTGTGCAAACTGCTGAATTATGTCATAGCGGGACATACAGCTGCCAGACAAATAATGACCTCATCACATTCCATGTGGAAATCAAAGGTGATTTGATGCTTTCTATCATGAAGTCACCACATGAGATGTGTGTAAATCAAGTCAAGCAATCTCCTTCATTTAACCATGTATAGTGGTTATTCAAAAGGCAAATATTTTGGCCTTTATCCCTCAAAAGTAGCTTGACATGTTAACTGATCACTCAAGCACATTAATTTATAAATACAAGAAAACCAACATAATAGCCAGTAATTTTCCACTAAATGATGCAGTTCTTTCTCTATGCCACTGACAACACTGTAGCTCCATCACTGAAGTTCATTCCAATTTCAGAAGTGGAGAAGAACAAGTCCACAGAAGTAGACTCACCAATCGTTCTGAAATGTGAGCTATCAGACGCTACCGCTCAGGTGCTCTGGTGTAAAGATGGTAAAGAGCTGGCCCTAAACCCTGGGCTAAATTTCCAAACAGATGGAAATATGAGGAAACTAACTGTTCAATCAGCAAAACTGTCTGATACTGGAAACTACACCTGTCATGTTCCAGGTGATACCGTATCATTCGTGGTGGACGTTCAAGGTGATTTTTACAACACTACCACACAAATTAACTATTAAATACTGTGTATGCCCTATATATATTCCTTTATATTTCTAATCACTCCCTGTGGAAAAAAAATGTATCTCCTGTAACATCTTTTACCATCCATTTAAACTCTGCTTCTCTCACTTCTTGATAACTGGGCAAATCATGTGACTAACACATCTGTAGGTTAAGACTGCCTAAATGTCTTTCAACAGATTTGTACTTTTTTTCACAAATTAATTTGTCGATAATCTAAAAAAAATTACATTTTCCAAATTTTCATAGCTCATCCTGTAAGGTTCTCAGCACTCCCAGAAATTGCAAGGAACAAGTTTATTGAAGCAGGCTGTCCCATTATACTTCAGTGTGAAATCTCAGACCCTACTGCCCAAGTTTCCTGGCTCAAAGATGGAGTCAAACTCCAACAAGACAGTGGACTTGACATCCAATCAGAGGGCACTATGAAGACAATGATCATCCATTCTGCTGAGCTCAAACACTCAGGCGTGTACAGCTGTGAGGCTGTGGATGATCGCATAGCATTCAAGGTGGATGTTGCAGGTGATTTTGAGTCTACATACTTTTTCTCAAAACCACTAACAATGTGTCAAATAACGCTTCATCCACTAAATGCTGTTTGCCCTTATCAGATTTTAACAAAGAAAACATTCATAACCAAATAATCAAAGCCCCATTTTGTTAAACCCTACAATTCTCTCCTCACCCCTTTAGCTGACACAAACAATAACTACTGTATAAAAAGGATTGTACAGGTTTTTTAACATCTTTCAAATCGCTTATTGCTATACAATATCACTATATTGTATAGATGATGTCACCTAATTTAGACCTGCTCATTAAGTTATGTTCAGAATAATAGGCTTCAGAACTATAATAACACGAGAGATCAACTCATAATATACACACAGACTCAGCAAAGTGTCTCAATCATTAGCCGTACGCAAGTTTTAATCTTTTTCATCAATTAATTTCATTATTTCTCATCGATTATCTGGATATATAACTTAGAAAGGCTTTTTTTTTTTTTTTTTTTTATTCTATGAATTTTGACTGAACAAAAATCCTCTTAGCTCCACCAGTGATGTTCTCAGCTGTTCCTGAGATTGAGAAGAACAAGTCAGTTGAAGCAGGCTGGCCAGTCATTCTCCAATGTGAGATATCAGATCCTACAGCCCTGGTCCAATGGTACAAGGATGGATTACAGCTCCTACCTCAATCTGGGGTTTACATCAAATCACAGCACACCATGAGGACACTGGTTATCCAATCAGCAAATGTATCCCACTCTGGGTTTTACAGTTGTAATACTGCTGATGGTATCAGTGAATTTTTTGTGGATGTTAAAGGTGACATATAAACCTTATCCAACGTATTCTTTTATATAACTAACAAATACATCAACTTAGTAGAATTCAGTTTCCATTGGGTGAAAGCATTCTTCTCTACCTTTCAACAGATCCATTCTGCTGCTTTTATGGGCTCCTTAACCATTTCCATAATGCAGGAATATTTTTGAAGCTTCACAAGTTTGTTTGCAATTTTTCCACCAACTTGTGCCATCCTTAGATGCTATTTAACCAGCATATTGGTTCTCTTTACTTATAAAATAAAAAAACACTTACGCTGGACAAGCATGCCTTGTAACCATTATTATCTGTGCTTAATAGCACTTCATTCTCACAAAGCTTTCATTAACTCTTCATTCTCTTTTTCTTTGTATTTCATTTGGCTTATAGAGTGGAGAAAGAGTTCAACAGGGCTGGCCAAGCAATCATCATCAGTGCTTGAATTGCATGTTTAACATGTCATACTTGTGTGACTAAGTAAAAGTAGCATAACAAAAAACTAATGACCACTTCCTTCTCATTGCAGCACCTCCTGTGACATTTGCCTACAT